AATTAGGTGCTTAATAAATAGTTGTCAAATGGAGTAAGTGCTTTAAGAGATGAATTGAGTTTTTGTGGTTAGAGTAAGTTAAGAATACCTGGATATACAACATTGAAACCAAACTTTTGGCAGCAGCATACACATAACTGTACAGCCTGTGGTCTGAGCTCTGCCATAATTTGGTGACATAGGTAAAAGCCCAACTTTATACAATGGAATTTACTTGTATGCTCTTATTTGATAGTCAGGACTGATAGTAATGTTAGGGCTTGTCACTTATATTTAGGAATAAGACATGGAACAGTTGCTTTGAGTCTTTAGAGTAGACCAGTGGTTTTCAGATGGATCAGCATCTTCTGAGATCTTGTTAAAGCTTGTATCACTGGGCCCACTGTCATGGTGTCTGATTCAGTAGGTCTGAATGATGCTCTAGAGTTCCCAGGTGATGCTGCTGCTGCTGATTCAGGAACGACACTTTGCTAATTGGTGAGATGGACACACAGTTGGGATGTTGATTTCAACCACAGAAAATTTCATGTACCAATAATAACATGCACATAGAAGATGGGAGTCATAAGGCTGTGCTCAATATTGACCCAGTTTTAATTTGCAACCTGAAAATACAGAGTTGTAGGTTTGGGAGTGTGGCTGGGTGGTAGAGCACCTGTTTAGTATGAATGAGGTCCTGGGTTTGACCCCCAGTTCCACCAAAAAAACAAAACAACAACAAAAGAACAAAACAACAACAAAAGAACAACAGAGTCTATGAATTATAAATATTGCTTAAAAAAACTCACATGTTGTTAGGAGTGGTGGCATATGCCTACAATCCCAGCTCCTTGGAAGACTGAGGCAGGAGGATTCCAAGTTCAAGGCCAGTTTTGGAAGCCCTAGTTCGACAAAATAAAATAGAAAGGGGGATGTAGCTCAGTGGTAAAGTGCCTCTGGGTTCAATCCCCAACCTCCATTCCCCCAAAATAAACAGACTAAAAAAATCTGAAAACAACAAATGCCCCATAAAACTCATTGTTATGGTTTAGGTATGAGATATCCCCTAGAAGCTCATGCGTGATACAATGCAAGAAAGTTTAGAGGTGAAATGATTGGGTTATGAGAGCCTTAACCAAAATAGTGGATTAATTTCCTGATAGAGGTTGACTGGGTGGTAACTGTAGGCAGGCAGGTAAGGTTTGGCTGGAGGAAGGGGGTCACTGCGTGTGTGCCTTGGGGTTTTTATTTTGTCCCTGTGATGGAGCAGTCTTTCTCTGCTTCCTGGTGGCCACATCCTGAGCTGATTTCTTCCACCACAACCTTCTGCCATGATATTCTGCTTCATCTTGGGCTCAGAGCAATGAAGCTAGCCATCTGTGGACTGAGACCTCTGAAACCATGAGACTAAATAAACTTTCTCTCCTCTAAATTGCTCTTGTCAGGTTTTTTGGTCAGAGTGGAAAAAAGCTGACTAAAACAAAAGTGCTTAACCATTTAAAGACAGTAAAATTTTTGTAGGCATCTACTCTTAGAAAGTTCAAATGGTTTTATTATCTAAGTAGTGGTATGAAATTGAAATTTCCCCACTATATCTCAGTTTATTCTTAAAGCTTAGTATAACTTGAAAGAAAAGAGAAAGTGGATAAGTGGAGAAGTGATGGGTTTGTTAATTAATTACAGGCAGCCATAGCAAGACAAATCATTGCTGTGACCTGACATTTTATTTGAGGTTTACTGTGCAGTTTATGGAAGCCATTTTCTTGTTACCTTGAGAGTTATTACTCCCTCAATTTGTTGCTTGATAAACTGAGGCTTGATGAAAGGTTCTGGTCAGGGTTATGCTGCAGAAATTCAGGAGCCTCTGCTCTGGGAAGATCTCAGAAGGCTGGAGTCCTTGGGTTTCTATTTCATTCTTTGACTGCTGTGTTTTGTTTTCTTTATGAAGAACATTGCTTTTAAAGGGCAGGCCCCAAGGGATAGCTTTTTCTACTGCAGGGACAGGAATAAGTTTCTAGCTTGCCCTCCTAAGTGTCTGTAAGGTTGTACAGGAATGAACCACCAATGGTTATGACTGGCAGGGGGAGTAGGACATCCATTCTTCTGATTTAAGATGTATGACATTTATCGTTTGGGGGAAGTTCAGATTGCTTTTGTTGTCAGGTAACTAATAAAAGATATGACATTGAAAACAAAAGAATTAGATACTGAAAACCACCATTTATGTCACCAAATTTGGTGTTTTAAATAAGAGAAAGGTCCAATGAGGAAACTCAGAAAGGAATGGACATGTTCCCTCTTTGGATACAGAGTTGGGGTGTGGACTAATGAAATTGGAATGGCTCATCTCACTAGCAAGGAAGAGGAGAAGAGAAGAAAGGGAAAGGAAAAAAAATCACTGTTCCTTGGTAATGTAATCATGGAGCCTAAATGTGGGATAATTTGCTATTCATTTATACAAAAGAGACTCTAGTGCTGACTATAAAGTGAGGCCGTATGAGAGTTTTTGTTGTAGATCTAACCAAAACCTTCCAGAGCCTGCTCCCTTACATCTCTTCTTCCTTCCACACAGTCAGGCAGCAGACACTTTCTGAGTGCTTTCTTTGAGCCACACACAGTGCTGAGGTTTTCTTTCCACAAGCCTCCTCTCCTGCCTAGGGACTCTTAAACCTTCTCTGAGTTTAAAAAATGAAACAGAACTTATGACTCCTGGAGCTTCTATTTTTAATTACATTTGTTTTTTGATGACAAGTTACTTGAAAAACCATTATTCATTGATTCCCCTTGGCAAATGCTTGCCACTCTGTCTGACAAATGTCCTAGGCACATGGGACAGTGGGGGAACATAGAAGTGGGGTGGAGATTGATCCCACCTTCTGATCTTGCTTGATCTTACCTTCTGGTGGCAGAGAAGGCCATTCACTGCGTTCATCTGTTTCTATCTCCTTCACTTGCTGTCAGCTGTCTTGCAGGATACCTTCTGCTCCGTGGCTCTTGGACCACATTAAAATGACCTAGTCATCCGTGGATCTTTTCCAGACTGGATTTTGCTTGATCTCATAGCAGCAATTGACACTGCAGCCTGCGCCCCTCTGCTCTCCATTTTCACTTTTGCTTTTTGTGACATTGCATCTCCCTCCTCTATGAATTGGTTTTCGCTGCCCACCCTGACCCCATACACAGCCATTGGATCTCAGCATCTCCCAAGAGCACAGGTTTCAGTTCCTCATGCTTGCTCAGCCCTCCCGGGTCTAGGTTTAGCAGAACATCCCTCCTTCGTCTCCTGCCACACCCAGGCTCCAGCTCTCTGTCTCCTGCTGAGTCTAATTCATTCTTGGCATCCATCAGCCTTCTAGTTCTGTTGGACAAGGCCCCCTCTTACATTGCCAGTCCTCTGAGGTCTCTCCCTGAATGATGTCAGTGGCTCCTTAGTGGGTATCTCTGCTTCAGGGCTCACTCTCCTTCATTCATCTTGACAATTTCCACTGGGTAAATTTCCCAGTGCACAGCTCTCTTGTGTAACCTCCTTGCTGAGGAATCCTTAGTGGCTCCTGCTATTTCCCAAAGGGAGTCCAGAGTGCTGGGCAAAGGCTCCCCTAGCCTGGCTCCAGCCCATCTTTCAGTGTATCTCTGTCTCCGTTTTCAGCCAGTTCTTCACCTCACTCTTCTGCCCTTTACTGCTTCTATTCCTCTTCCTTGCTTCCCTTTTCTCCTTCTTCTCCTCTCCTCATTTTCCACCTGTATCCTGCTCCTTTATTTCATTTATATATATTTTTCTTTTATGCTGGGGAACAAACCCTGGGCCTGGCGAATGCTAGACAAGCATAGTGCCCTGAGCCATACCCCAGGCCTCCTCCTTTTTCAGGAGCATCTCAGATCCAGTCTTTTCCATGAAAGTCTCTGATTCCTTGCTAGGCTGTGAGTCATTTTTTCTTCTCTGACTTACCTAACCGTTTATGGGCATTCCTGTGATACCAGGTTGTGGTGTTTTGTAATCCCAATGTCTCTTTCATCCTAGAGTGTAGGCCTCCTCTGGGCAGGACAGCCAGACACCTTGCAGCACCATTTCAGGCACCTGGCTCATCTCTTAAGAGCATTGTTTGGTAAATGTCCACTGGATGGGTAACTAAAGAGTTCATCAGTCATTTATTTTGACAATAGTTAAAGCCTATGCCAGCACTTGGGAAACCAGTCTTTGACCAAATTGGTCCTCTTCCCATTTKTGAATAAAGTCTTACTGCAACATAAACACTCTGAAACATTGACTGTGGTTGGCAAAGCCTCACATAGTTTCTAACTGACTTTTATTTCTTTTTAAAAAAAATTTTTTTTGTAGTTGAGGATGGACAGAATGCCTTTATTTTATTTGTTTATTTTTATATGGTGATGAGKATCAAACTCAGTGCCTCATGCATGCTAGGCAAGCACACTACCACTGAGCTATCAACCCCAGCCCTCTGACTTTTTTCAGAAGTTTTTCTACCCAGGTTCCATATTGTTGTCCAGACTGCCAAAGCATACAGTGCCAGCTGCAGAAGGAAGTTAGGAAACTGTGATTAAACTCTTAGCCTCTTGCTTTGGCTTTCTGACATGTCTATGTGGACKCCATAATTAGGGTTCTGGGGTGTTTTTGTACTTTATCTAAAGTGAACTGCAATTAATTTTGTGGTAAAAATATCCACACAGGTTAACTGGATTTGATCTCTGTTTTTTGACATTAGGGTGGGAATTTGGGGATATGTTTTATACTGTCAGGCTTTATGTAATTAAAATAGCCTCTAAAATACTTTGGTGTTCTCAGTAAAAATATTCAGCAATGGTGTTTGAGATGTGCCACCAAATATCAGATTAGAAACCCCCTTTGTTTTGGTCACAGATGTGGCAGATGGCTATGTCCAAGAAAATCCATGTTATTTGCTCTACAGAACCTGGCAGAGGAAGGTGATGCATTTCCAGGGTTTAGAGGGAAAATTTTATGTTTCATGAACCCCCACATGAACAGTGTTTCTTTTTCTTTTCAGAGGGACGCATGGTCATCCAGGACATTCCTGCTGTCACCAGCAGAGGGCACGTGGAGAACGCACCTGACCTGGTTTCAGACTCCACCTACTACAGCAGCTTTTACCAGCCTTCTCTGTTCCCTTACTACAACAATCTGTACAACTATCCGCAGTACTCCATGGCCTTGGCTGCTGATGCCTCTTCTGGGGATGTGGGAGGTCCCCTCGGGGGATCCCCTGTGAAGAACAGCCTTCGGAGCCTTCCAGCGCCTTACGTGTCTGGTCAAACAGGAAACCAGTGGCAGGTATGATGTTACCCAGGGAGTCAACTGGGTATGTGAAAAATACACAAGCACAACGTGCACATAACACACAGGGACTTAAATGTATACATGCACACAGAAACGCACCATGTGCCTGTACATGGTTACACCAGTTTAGCACATAGTGTAGGCTGACACGGTATGCAAAACTATATACAGAATTTTTCACTCTGCTAATACTACCATTTAATATTGGCGATTAGCTGCAAGGAGTTACAAAGAAATGTGCATATGTTTGGGTTTATTTTAAAATTTTACTTTGCCCATATTCCTAGTAGGCCCACATTAGTTGCACACATAGCTTACAGGATGAAGCTCCACTTCCTGCGGCCATGTCCACCATGGTGCATTTTAGAAAATGYGAGGTACAACCTTGTGGGTGGCAGTAATTTTTCTGATGAGTTTGCACCCTGGGAAGGAAGAGTGTTATAATTTGTATGATTACATGGAAGAAAGGTAAAAAAAAGCAATTAGGTAGCTATTGTGCTGGGCCAACTTGGGTACATTTTTTGCTAGGAATGGAGGTCAGTCTTTCATATTCTTAAGTATGTATTATTAAAATACTGTGCTATCAAGAACTTTTTAGTATTTAGAGTAAAACACAGCATTTTGTTTTACCATGGAAAGAGCTTATCTAGAGCTGTTCTGCTTCCTCGGGTAACCCTTTCCACCATGCCTGTGTATTAGCAGGTTCATGGTGCTGAAACCCTGAGAGGCTAGAAGACAGTGATGCATGTGTCCTAGGAACTTATGCACAGAAGAGGTTAGACTGCACCACCAAGACTCCTCCATCCAAGAGAAGTTAGGATTCTGTGAGGCCTGTTCTCATTTTAGATGCATTTACCGTGCTGGGGTTTGACTCTGACAAAATGCTGCAACATACATGTTTGGGAGTTAGTGCAAGTTTTTACTTTCCTTTCTTTTTTTTTTATTTCTCAGATTTATTGAGGTGTGTTTGACAAAATTGTGTATATTTAAGTTGTTTATGTGATGATTTGAGGTGTTCTAATTGTACGGTGACTATCAGGCTGATTTTTTTTTTTTTTTTGGTGTGTGTGGGGGGCGGGTAAAAACATTTAACTGGTCCTTTGACATTTTTCAAGCACACGGTATTATTGATAGTTACCATGCTATATATTAGACTTCCAGAACTTTCTCATCTTGTAACTGAAGTGAGCCTTGAACAGCATCTCCCCATTTCTCCCACTCCCAGGCAACCACTGTTTTACTTTTTGCTTCTGTGAGTTCAGCTTGTTTTAGGAGTCTTTCATAACCTTTCTCAACTCCCTCCAAAACATATGAATTGAAATTTTCCCTTGAGCAATTCTATTTCATTTTGCCTCTGCCTTTTTTTGGTGCCTGTGGGGGCTACTGGGAATTGATCCTAGAGGCACTTTATCACTGATCCACATTCCCTGATCTTTTTATTTTTTGAGATAGTATCTTACTAAGTTGCTGAGGCTGGTCTGGAACTTGTGATCCTTCTGCCTTGTTGGGATTATCAGTATGCACTATTGTGCTTGGTTTTGCCTTTTTTTTTTTAAGGTGTGGGGGAAGTTGTTAATATTCAAGTCACCCCACTTGGATTCTCCTGCTACCTTCAGGGATCTAACTTCTTGGACAATTAAAGTGTTAGCTTTTAAAATGTCAGCTTTAATCCCCTGAGCTACAAATTTCCAAAAGTTTTTCATACATTTCACTTTTGGAACCATACTTTTTTGAAGGAGACTTAAAACACATTGCTACTAGAATTGAGAGGTAGAATGAGCATAAAGGAAATAAGATGATTTATAGAACTTCAAACTGGGCCTCTCCAAGCCTGTCAAAATGCAGTTGAAATTCTATGATTTGGGGCAAATTTGGGGTTGATTTCTTTTGGAGACTCTCTTCCCTGAGGGAGAAAGGCRCATATTAAGGATTAAAAAACAAAACAAAACCCACCTCATCCTGCTGATTCCCAGGGATGAGGAGCTGCTATCAGAATATCCTGGTTTTCTGGCTGCTTCCTGGCTTTGAGAATGAAGTAGGTGGGAGGGTCTGTGTGAACCTGTTTGTGAACCTGTTGGCTTGAATGATAAAAGATGATAAAGAAAAAATTTTTTTTTGAAAGAAAGATCAACTCTAAAGAAAAGTCAGAAATCTCCTAAACTAAGGGTCTTTTCCTTGTTGTCAAACCTTTCAGATGGCAGATGTTGCATGACACAGGGATGTATATTCTTCATCTTCCCAGAAAGTCTGAGAAAAGTGTAACTGAGGTCTTGGATTGTCTTAGAGGTCCCTTACACCAAGGTCCACAATCCCGGGACAGTGTGAAGAGACCTGTTCTCTGGAGAGCCAGCCATGTCCGTTACCATGCCCAGGAAGAGATCCCTGGGGGCATGGTTTGCTGAGAGACAGACTTGACTCAGTGTGTACCTGCTAGCCAGAGTGGGAGGAAGAAGCTAAACCTTCTTTGTCCTGTGGGGGATGTGCAGTTTTGATACTTAGTGCTTCCCATAGAACTTAACAGGACTGGAGAGAGGCACCGCAGGTTAGAGTCCCAGGACAGATACTGAGGCACCATTTAAGGAATAGTTTGTTTTCCCGGAGAACCAGGTTTAAGTTTTCTTAGTTCCCAACCAGTCACAGTCATTGATTGTTTCTCATATAACAAGTTATTTTTCAGCAGAAGGTTCTTCTGTCCTACTGTGGTTGCTGTCCTACTGTGGTTGTTACATGTTCTTAGTTAATAATAGCATGAGTAATGAGAACCATCGTTTATTGAGCAGGTGAGGACATTGAAACTCAGGACGGACTTACCTGAGTCACTCAGGGACTAAGTGGAAGAATCTGGGTTTGAATCTGGGCCTGTCTGGCTCCAAAGTATGTCAGCACTATCTGGTCATCACTGGGTCTGCAACAAACTCAGGTCTACATGACTGCCTCCCAGTGCCCTCTGGAAACTCAGACCTCCAGGGAACGTGCAGAATGTCTCTTCAGGTGAACCTTAACTGTGGGATGGATTCAGTACGAATATTGAGGCCCTTTCTAGTTCTTTAGGGCTTGGGATTGCTACCTCTTGTTTGTTTGTTTGTTTGTTTTTTATTTATGTATGTATTTATTTATTTATGTGGTGCCGGGGATTGAACCCAATGCCTCATGCATGCTAGGCAAGCGCTCTACCACTGAGCCACACCCCTGGCCCCTGGAATTGCTACCTTTTATTTTCCATTGGAGATATTTTCTTCACTTGTGGAGGTCGGAAGTATGTAGAAATTTTTAGAATAGGGCTGATGGATGATTACGACACAGAAGTTGAGGATAGAGCCCTTATACTTTTCTAAAATATCGAGTCTTGGATGTCAGTATTTAGAATATGCTGAATTCCTTAACTATTAAAAGTAACTATTTTGAAGTTACTTTTGAGATCTGCATACTAATTTTCTGTGAATATGATTATAACTAAAGCACATTTGAGTCCACTCACAAGAGTGTGTATAGCATAAAAATGATCCCCACAGTTTGGATGAAGGGACTCTACCATATGACCTGTTCCCTCAAAATTTGACATTTTATGAGTTTGAGGATCAATCTTGTAATGAAATGAAACTACAGACTTGACTTACAGTTTTTTTTAGTCACGCCCACAAAAGTCAGTTCCACTGAAAATAAACTTAAAAATACAAGAGCCAGTGTAGATGTAATCCATTAATTACAAAATAACTGTTGATAAGCAGAGCAGCAGTGAGTAGAGTCGAAATGGTTGCTAAAGAGTTCTGGTCTACCCCTGTTCACACAAAACGGGTCTAGAGCTGATGGGATCAGGAGGTCTGCTGATTTGGAGGAATGATATTTCGTGCTTTAAGAAACCTGGGGTTTAGCACTGGAAGATCCATGCTTGCTTCTAACTTGTGATTGAGCTATGTCACTCGGAGGAAAACACTTTATCCTCCAAATCTCAGGGTTTTTATCTGTAAAGTGAATATGGTGTCATCTGTGTAGGACTGTTGTGTACATAAGGTCATGTGATAGTTGAAGGGAGATGATTAGCCCATGTGAGTTTCTGTATAAATCCAGAAGTGCTATGCTGATATTAACTGCAGTGAATCTGTTTCACTTATTATTTTCAATTGGCCTTGCTTTCTAAAATCTGCTTAATTTGTCTCCATTTCTTCATATGTATTCTAGTTAGCTGCCTTGGGAGCCCCTCCTAACAAGATAGGGTATAAATAGTACACATTTCAATTATTATTGAAACTGTGACATGTGAATATGGACCAAGTACAAATGTATATGGAATGATTTTTGTATCTTGGGGAAGATTTGATCCAATTATAAAACAAAACTTGAAAGCATAAAAGTTATTATAAAGTTCAAATATGTTAAGAAGTATTACATAGTAAAAACCTATAAATAATACTTTTAGCTAATGTGAAGGGATAGGAATGGGCAGCTCATTTTGTAACTAGAGTTGTCTTTATTCCAGAGAACAGGAATTGAGATGGGTGAGAGTCCTTCACCATGCTGTGTGTTTCCAGAACATTCTGGGACTAGGCTCTTTGGACAGTGCCGTGTCCCTCCTGGTGGAATTTTCCTGGGGATGGGCAAGTAGGGTCACCTGTGGCAGCTGCCCTGCTTTTCTGTCTCCTTTTGAGGGTGATGCTCTTCAGCTGTGTTTGGGAGCCTTGTGCTCTCTGTTGCCTGATGCCCTTCTCCCACCCAGACTTGGCCCAGGGGTCCAAATCAGATGCCAAATCTCTTGCATTTATCTTCTTGACTTTATTGCAAAGACTCGACTTCTCTCCTCTTTGTAGGGTGGACTCTTCCTTTTGTACATTGTCCCCTAGCCTTTGCTGCTTCGAGGGCTGGTGTTGCTGGGGGAGCAGTGTGACTGTTTCTCAAGCAGGAGCTACTTGGTGATTAATAACCCTGGAGTGGAGATCACCATGAGTTTTGTAAACTAGACTTCCCAAATAAGAAGGGAAGATGTGGGATTATTTGCA